TTCAACACTTAAGGGAAATGTTATAATCCCAGTGATAAAGGTCTATCACTATTCTAAGCGTTTTATCATATATTGATGAGATCGTGACGAGCGCAGAAGATGACGGAGATGAATCATGTACGAGAGAAGCAAGGAGGATGATCAAGATGAATCAATCTACGAAGCTTATGAAGAGACAAGACTTATTCGAGGGGGAGACTACGTCATCCACGTGATTTATGAAAGAAAGATCATATCCGTTTTTCTAAGGGGAGATTGCACTCTTTTCTTTTATCTTGGTTTTTATCCTAAACAGATTTTTCCATGAGAAACTTCAAGCTTTCGTGTTCAGAACATATTCGGTTCGTCTTTGAGATCCCCAAAAGATGTAAGTTTAGTTTTTTTGATATGTTTAAATGTTTTAAAGTGATAGTTTTGTGTGTGCAAGTAATACAAAAAATAACATAGTGGTAGTACAAAGAAAATCAGTAGTTTTCCTCGGTCTTTGAAAAAGATGGTACGACGACATAAATGTGAATTTTTTAATAATCCAAAACATTTNAGGCTACAACCCTTTTTAAAGCAATGAATGCTTAGATATAGAAATTCACATTCAAACAAGAATTCAAGAATAAATTAACCCACATACTCTAAAGAATGCGAAAGAATGAAATCCATATATGTTTTCATAGCTTTTAAAACTAATTTACCAATTACCCTCTAATGCAATTGAAACAATTTGTGTTGGACAAATTAACGTTCCTAACTTAGACTCTTGAAAGAAAACTTTACTCCACCACAAATTGAAAATCCAGAAAAACAGAATCACTTCACTAATGAATTGATGTAAAGATAAAAATCACAGCAAAACGATAAATAGAGTGACACAAAAATACAATCAAGCATCAATTATTTTCTCCTTATGATTCAAGATTTTCATGAAATAAACAAAAAGATGCATACCAATACCTCTGTTGAGATGATGTAGATGTCTCGGTAGAATCAAAGCATACAACAACTTGTCTGATCAATAGATTTTTACAGACATATTTGATGCAAAAAAACATACGACCAATCATTTTTTAGAAAATCGTAGTGAATATTGATTCAAACATACAAGTTAAAGATTTGTGCAAAAGAAGATGTCTTCCCTATGTAATTTTTATTAATGAACGGTCTATTTCTTTTATATATAACATTGTATATGTCCAACAATTTGCTAAAATTGCTTAGCCTTCTAACTTAGATAATTATTTACTATAAATACCAAATTTATATAACGTTAAGTACACAAG